GATTCATGGTGGCTGGGAGGCTATGTTGCCTGACTGCCTTCCAGCAGCCCTGCCGGGCAGGTGCTTGTGTGCTTGCATGCCAGCCTCCCTGCTGGTGTGCCTTTGTACCTGGTTCTCTGAGAGACCATTAAAGCGTGAAAAATCCACCAAGGGCTCCTTGACCCTCTGTTATCCGTCTGCCTGAATTGATAGTGAACCTGCCCTATGACTGCTGGCACAACAGCCTATTCCCAGAATGTGTTAGATGCTACTGCCAAATGAAGAATGTTAAAAGAAACTCAGGAAAGCATACAAATCCACCCTAGCTAGAGGATACTTAAGATCACAGATGACTCTACATGCTGAGTCCATTTCCTCTCTACACGCAGCAGGATGTGGTCAGTCTAATATCAATAGTTGTATAATCAGTGATTTTAAAATCTATCCTGAAAAAAGAGGGGAGCTCTTGTCCTCCTCTAAGTGTGCAGGACACAATCCTCTGACACATTAATTAAGTGCTAAATAAAAGACACAGATGCAATGTCTTGTTTGCCCCCATTGTTCTGCAACTCTCTTTCAGAATTGTATTCATTCTATTACTTGCCTGAAACTTCTTTCAGCCTACCTTTCTCTAATCCCCTCTCTACACCAGAGTCATTGGTTCTGCCTCTTCTGATAGATTATTATTTACTTCCAATTTTCCCAAACCATTGAAATTATGCTACTTTCTTTATTGCTCACCCAAGCTCTTTAGCCTGGATTATTCACATGTATTTGGCATGTAATCAAATCCCACTGAATTGCCCTTAAAACAAATTATGGTACAGTCTGGTGCAGCTTTGTATTAACAGTCACCAGCACTGCCCATGATTTGAGAAGGAAGTCTATAACACAGATTTCAAGGCCAGGCCTTACATTAAATTAAAGGAAAGAATATGTCAAGGCATTTCTCACCAAGGTACACTATAGGAAGAATGAAAGTTTGCTCCAGCTTCAGAAAACCATGGAAAAATTTATAGGAGGAGCCAAACCTATTCTGGGTAAGTTCCTTCAGACACAGACACATTTTTTTTTTTTTCATTGAGACCTGGTAGAAGACAAATATTGTTTGCAAGCTAAAATTTTTTTATTGAAAAATATTATTCTAGTTCTTCAATTGCTCAACACATTTGTTAAAATGACTATGAGACTATGTCTCTTGTTTAATTCCTTCAATATATCAAGGTAATTTAAAAAACATACTTCTGAATCAGAACAGCTCGAATTCCCATTAACAAAAGACTGAAAGGCAAAAGAATTTATTATTTGAAACCAGTCTTGGTCTATGCACAGTAGTAGAGAATGGACTAATTTAATGGAAACAAGGAACAAGTTGCATTTGTGGGGTGGTGACGGGGATGGGTTTTCAGATAAAGTTGCTCAGAGTGGAAATCATTTAAGGAACACCTGGCCTGATTCCCAGCTGCCCATTAGTTAGAAATTGGAGAAAGAACCACTTTTAGAACCACTAATGAGCCCCAGGTGAAAATGCTGTTAACTAGAATGTTCCTTTATTTCAAAATTTCCAGTGTTTTGATTGATGAGCATATTGTTTAGGATTCCTAATTTTCCCTTACATTAAAACATAACCTTTGCTTTTCCTCTCAATTGAAACTTTTTGGCGGGGAGCGGGAGATACCACAAATACCTGTCATTAGTTATAGAAAAGGCTAGATTCCATTAAGGAAACCACTCTTGTTGTGATAGATGTTTTCATGGTAGTTTGAGTCTGCAGAGTATTTGAGTCTGCAGAGTGTTTATGAACCAAAAAAAGTATTTTTGATCGCTGGATCAATTGGCTTGCAAGGCCCCTGAAACTATCAGCTCTCAAGAGCTTTTGTACAAGCTGTCTCTCCAGCACACCAGAGCTACCAGAGTTTATCTTCACTGATGCTCCTGTTCTCAGACCTCTCTCACCAATCAGCTAACAGTGGGCAGGCAGCCCCGGCAGCCCTTCAGTCCTTTTTGATTTGCCTTTGGGTTCTCACCTGGGCATCATGTCATTGAAAGTGAAAGTGACTGATCTCTACAAGTGAAGATATTACTAAATTCAAAATGTAGTATTTCAAGCACCTCAAGACATTTTTATGCATACTCTTGAGTAGGGATTCATAATGGTGTGCTGAAAACAGGCAAAACTACAGGCTGATCACAGCATATCTTCCTAGAATGTTGGTGTTACGAGCAGTTTAAAAAAAAATCTTCAAGTTTTTGACACATATATATGAAAGCTAAATGAGCATACCCTCACTTTTTCACATCTGCCAGTTTTGGGTGTTGAAGGGCTGGAGATGTGAAATTCAGCCAAATAAAGAGAATTTTCAATTCTATGCAAGTTTGTGATTTTGAGCATAATGATAATGAAACCATGACCAGTATCATATTTTTGATGGAGACATAAAACCCTAAGATAATAAAACACCAGTTTCACAATATGGTTGAAAGAAAATGAATTAACATCTACAAGACTGTCAGAATAGTGCCTGGCATAGGATTAGCATTGTTGTCACTCTTAGTAGCTTCATGCATCTCACCTATTACATATTCTTCCCTTTAATTTGATAGGAAAAATAAACCCAATCTCTCAAAAGGGGTCAGTGTGGTAAAAGTTGAAAAGATGGGAAGAAATGAAGAAGAAAACTAAGCAATCTTCTGATTAGTTCTGCTTAGGCAGAAGTGTTAATGTCAAACACTGAAAAAACACAAAAGAAGTAAAATTTCAAATAACAAACTCTTTTTTCACTTTTGTGTTTCTTAGACTTGCTGTAAGTATCTTGAAAATAAGGAAAATTATGACATTATCACAAACATAATAAGTGATTCAGAACCAGACATCAGCTCTATTACATATATCAAGTGTATATATGGTGTCAAAATGCGGGTTTTAGTTTGTGAATAAGCAAATGAACCTAATAAGCCTTGTAATTTCTTCTGGAAAAAAAGTGCCCCCAGCAATAATTCCATAAAATAATGATGCAAATCTCACCATTTAAAAAACTGCCACAACAATTTTAAAAATTAGTCAGAAGCATTACATTAAATACAGTAGATAGAATTTTTAGCTAAGAATGTGACAATGAAAAACACAATAAAATTAAAACTCATGAGATAAATGAGGGTGCCAATATGGTATAACTGAGGCCATACTTCTCCTCTCATGTCAAAAAAACTCACCATTTTTTAAATTTAAAAAAAAATCTGAAACCAATGATTTAAAAAATTTACAACAGATAGCAAAGATTTGTCATTCCTGAAAGAAAATAAATAAATGAAGTAGACTCTATGATCACTCAATCAGAGGCATTTTTTTGGTCCAGCATATGGGGGAAGTTTTACAGTAGAGACGTTATATTTACTATAAATATGCTCAAGGATTTAAATGAAAACATGACTATAATAATAGAAATTAAAGATATAAAAAGAAGCAAATGGAATGACTAAAGAGAATGTATATAAAATTAAAAAAATCTAGTTGGAAGAGACTGTACAGAAGAAAAAAATCAGTAAGAAAAAACTCAGTATTCTATTGAATACAGTAGAAAATTTTCAAATATAAATGAAGAGAAATAAAAAGACTTAAAAGTTTTACAAAACCACAGAGGTATGTGAAATGGTATTAAGAGATCTATCATGTAAGTAATTAACATCCTACAGGGAGAGGTGAAAAAAGAGTAGGGAAAAATAGCATTTACAGAAATAATTGAAAAACTCCAAATGTGATGTTAAATATAAACTTACACATTCAATAAGGTCAGAAAACCCAAAGCAAAATAAATGCAAAGAAAACAACACTAAGGCATAGCATTATTAAATTTCTGAAGAGTAGTATGAAAGTTATAGGAGAAAATTTACAGAAAATTATAAAGGCAGAAAAAAATGAAACATTAACTAGAGAAGAACAAAAAGATTGCCAACTCTGTGTGCAATTAAAAAAATGCAAGTCAGAAGAAAATGACATCTATAAAGGAATGAAAAAATCCACCTTAGGTGTAAAAATTGAAAGAGCCTCGCTCCTACACCAATAAGAAAGATCTGGGGCCTCCACTGGTGGCGCAGCGGTTGAGCGCTGGGCTGCCCACAGCCTCTGCAGCGCGGGTTCATTCCCTGGCCGCCAGCGAGGGCCCCACAAAAAAAAAAAAAAAAAAGAAAGATCTGGATAATTCCCAAAATTATAACTTCTTGAACCCATTGAAACAAAAGACACAAGGCAACCAAATACCTTGATACTTAAGAAGAGGCAAGTTACTAAATTATTAGTAATCAGAGAAATGAAAAACAAGATAATAAGAAGGAAGGGGAAGAAAAGGGAAAAAGGAGGAAAACACTTCCTTAGGTGACAGAAAATTCCTAATAAATTTTATGTGCTAATTTCTTAACATGATGCTCTGTCCTCTTCAATGTCTGGATAGCAGACCTTTCTTTTTTCTAGCTAAGCGATTGCAGAGCAATAGTCATGGTGTGGGAGGTGCCCAATATTCAGTATATCTAACATGTTCAGTAAAGAAAAGCAATGATTCACAAGAGGAATGTAGCACTCTACACTCTACATATGTAGCACTCTATAGCTACAATAAAACCTTATCATTTTCAAGCCTATTTTGATTTTCAATTTGAATTTAAGAGTTTTGGGCCTCCCCTGGTGGCAGAGCAGTTGAGCGCTGGGCTGCGAAGCTGCCCGCAGCCTCTGCAGTGCCAGTTCAATCCCCAGCCGGCTGGCGAGGGTCCCACATGGCGCGACAGACCTCTCCTGCCGCCCGCTGCTCCCCTCAGCAGTGTACTTTGTCAGTCTGCCTGTTCTGCTCCGGGCTCTGGCTCTGGTGAATTCTCTCACCCTCCCATGCTTCTGACTGTACCCAGTGCTTGTATAAATCAAATAAATTAATTTAAAAAAAAAAAGAATGAATTTAAGAGTTTTGAGGGAGTGGTTTTCTCTCCTTTCTGCAGCCATGAGAGGACAGAATATGAACTGTGATAACAGAGCCATGGCAGGACAAGCATTTAGGAAGTTTCTTCTCCTCTTTGGTAGAATATTAGCTGACAGGCATGCAGCTGAAACTGTAACCAAAGGAGACACTATGCTTCTAGAAAAACCTCAAGGGAAAATATTGCAAGCAATAGTGTTAGAGGTAGGATCAATTTTAAAGGATGGAGAGATTCCACCAGTTGGAATGAAAGTTGGAGATAAAGTTCTTCTCCCAGAATATGGAAGCACCAAAGCAGTTCTAGACGACAAGGATTTTGATTTTTTTTTAAATATATTTTTGTTACCAATTTTGAAAAGATCTTGAAAACATTGGTTTACATTGATGTTTGTATTTTAGAGGTATAGGATCTCCACCTTCAGGTGTTTCTACTACAACACATCCATCACCAAAGCACCGACAGCCTTTCCTATAGACTGTTGTGCCCTCTCCATACTTATTCTTACTTCTCCACCTTCCACTCTGGTAGACTTAGCTCTATAGTCAGTATGGCATTTTCTGAAAATATTAAAAATGGATCTACTATATGACTCAGCAATTCCATGCCTAGGTATCAACCTGAAAAAGAAAAAAACACCAATTCAAAGGGAACACTTCCGTGTTCATTGTGGCACTATTACAATAGCCAAGCTATGGAAACAACCTAAGTGCCTAAATACAGTAATGTGGATCATAAAGATGTGGTATATACACATGAGGGAATACTACTCAGCTATCAAAAATGATAAATTTTTGCTAGTTGTGGCAACATGGATAGAGCTGGAGGGGATTATGCTAAGTGAAATAAGTCATAAGGAGAAAGATAAATACAAGAAAGTCTCATTTATAAATAAAATATAGAGAAACCAGGTAAAGGTTCAGATAAATGACTATTTCTTTTTTTTAAAGATTTTATTTATTTATACAAGTACTGGGGTACAGGCCAGAGGTGCGGGAAGGTGAGAGAATTCACCAAGACAGAGCAGGGAGCAGAACAGGCAGAAGGACCAAAAACACTGCTGAGGGGAGCAGCGGATGAGGCAGGAGAGATCTGCCCCGCCATGTAGGAATCTCTCTGGCCGGTCAGAAATAGAACTGGTGCTGCAGAGTCTGCAGACAGCTTCACAGAGCTGTGCTCAACCTGCTGTGCCACCGGGGAAGACCAAAGGACTATTTCTATTTACAGATGCCGCCATTCTTGGAAATTATGTGGACCAAACTCAGGATTGAAATGAAACTGCCCATTCCACTGAATTTCTGAAATCTTTTATCATGAAATAATTTCCTTTTTTCTTTGATAATAAACTAATGCTATCCCAAAAATAAAGTTATGCAGGGTGAATGGTTATTCCCATTTTGCAAACTGGTAACAATGAGACTCATTGAGTCAAGCAAATTGCAAAGATGGAATTGCAGATGAAATTTTCTAACTCAGTGGGTTGTTTCAAGATGCATATTTTACAAAGCTTTTATCCTTAGAGAAGGTGCATTTACAATAGTTACTTATATTTGATCTATTTTCACCATACCACAACAGCAGCAAAGTCAAGTTTGAGGCAGTCTGACCTCATGACCCTGAATAAGTTTAAATTCAAAGGCTAGGTTCTACTTCCATAATTTGCTGGTGGAAATCTGACAGCAGTGTGATACTAGTTTTCTTATCTGTTTTACTATTACAAGAATGAAACATGGGGTTCCATAATGTAGATAGTTAAAAACAAATAAGGCTAAATTAGAATTGAAGAGCTAGAAAGAATTCTTTTGCTTTTTATCTCACTAACACTTGTAGACTTTATACTAGGATTTGCATGCGGCAGTTTGAATCTTGAGTCTGGGTTATTTGCAATATATGAGACATGGTGAGGGAGCAGTGAAGTTTACATTTGCAGTGAGAGCTTCCTCTGTAGGGATTGAGACTAAAACTACTATTTAACTTTCCATGTTTGGAAAAGGAACTGAAATAAGCACTTAAATCCCTCTTCCTCCATTTTTGTAACATGAGTCAAACTTAAGGAAAGCTCTTTTCTTTCCTCTCACAAAGAAATTTTATGTTCCTATCTGGTGTAGAGTTATCTAATGACCTAAGTAAATCCCAAGATTTTTTTTTTCCTGGAAAAGCTACTTGTTTGAATGGAACAGTCAGCCTGTCAGGGAGAACACAGCAAACATAATTGGCAACCCTGGAGCAGATGGCTCCTGGAGTCTGTTCATGTACCTGATATGTCTGAAATAGTTATTGAAAGGCCAACATGTGGTTTTTAAATTGTGGGGAACTGAATATTATGAAAACTCCACTCATAATGTCATTTAGTATTTCCCAAATTGTTATTTTTCAGATTATTCTGTGTGTAAAAATAGCCCAGAGAGAAATAAAAAATGTTTCTTATGTTTATTCTGAACACTCAATTTCTCAATAAATTTTCAATTAACTCTCAACTTTAAAAAGCTAGGACTTCTCAATGTATACTGTTCAAAATCAGTATTCTAATGGACAATGCTTTGTGTTCAGTTGAGTTGCTTTTATATGTATCATCCATTCTTTCAAGACATAGTGTGCGTTCTTCAAAATACAAGATACTGTGGGAAAAACAAAACTACTTAGTCTTCGCTTCCAGAGTTTAAAATTCAGAACAGGAGTAATGCTGGCATTGAATTCATTTGTAAAACACAGTTCAGTATAATAAGAGGCAGAGGGGAAGAACTCAGTACTCTGGGGATGCAGAAGAGGAAGAGAACCCCTACATTTAGAGGAACCATCAAAAGCGTCATGGAGACAACTCCTGTACCAAGTTTGATAGGGGGATTTCACGGGTGAGTTGTAGGATGCTGATATGGCAACAACATGAGCAATTGTGCTAAGACAGAAGCATGCGGGGGAAGTACACTGACAGTCAATTTAATCAAAATGGTGATGCACATGACCACCCTCATCTACTGTTGCTCAAATGACATAAATGAATTGGTTTACTTAGAATAAAAACCCATGACTATTTTTGTTTAATTTTTGATGGAGTCAAAGTTCAAACATATAAACTTTGCTAGGAGAGTTCATGTCATTAGGACTGATGTATTTTAAACTGATGGCCACTCAAGTTTCAGACTTCTGTTTCCTAACCTGCAAAGCAGGGACTTGAATCAATCCAATTAGCTTTTCCTGACCTTATAATTCTCTAAATACACCTTAATACCATACCATTACATACCAGCTGCCATCTATATATTGTCCAAATGCAATAATGTTCGAACAACAATGCATGACTCTACTACGAAACTCAATTTTATAAAACCATATTTTTTTTTAACTTAGGAGATAAGAAGGTGCCCAGACACAGACATCTGGAGACTACTGAGAACATCCACCAGAACATTTGATCTCTGGTCTAAATGGACATGAAGCTTAAAGGAGTAGAGGAAGCAAATTTGGTGAAGAGGGAAATACACTGTCTGGGAATAGGAAATGTGTTCTCTTTCCAGCTCTGCCAAGGACTGACTGTGAGATTTGTGGGTAAGTCCTTTAACTACTCTGGGTCCCAGTCTCACTGGCTATAAAGAAATTGATCCAACTGATACCTTGGATCCAATTTCGCTCTGCAAAGTTCTTTTATCCTGTGTGAGACTTACGATTCAATATATTGATGCTAAACCACAGCAATCATGCTGTCACTTAACATTCAAATCACCAAACCCCAAAATTACCAACTTCCTCGCCAAACTGCCTTCTTCTACACATTTCCCTGCTCTGCAAGAAGCGTCACAGATTTCCGAGGTCACTCAGGTTTGATATATGGGATCATATATCAGTTTTTCCTTTGCAGCAACCCCATGCCTGTTTCCAGATGCTGCTGTTTTGTTTCTCTGTGGTGATTCTGTGTTTCTCCATCTCCTTGGCTATACTCCAGCCCAGTGGTTCTCAAAGAGTGTTCTAGGGAGCAGTGGGGGGTCACTGAGTCTTTCAGGGTGCCATGGTGTTGGAGGATTTTCATAATAATATCAAAGTGCTTTTTGTCTTTTCACTTTCTCTCACAAGTATACAGTGGAGTTTTCCAGAGCCTGCATCATGTAACATTACAACAGATTGAATGTATGTCAATTGAATGTATAACAATGTGGTTAGGTTCTCTTAAACTAGACATGAAAGAAATTTGCAGAAATGTAAAACAATGTCATTTCCTCATGACTTTTTTTTTTAAGATTTATTTATTTTTTATACAAGCACTGGGTACAGTCAGAAGCGTGGGATGGTGAGAGGATTCACCAGAGACATAGCTGGGAGCTGAACAGGCAGACTGATGAAATACACTGCTGAGGGGAGCAGCGGACGCGGCAGGAGAGGTCTGTCCCGCCATGTGGGACCCTTGCCTGTGGCCGGGGATCGAACTGGCGCTGCAGAGGCTGCAGGCAGCTTTGCAGCCCAGCACTCAACTGCTGCGCCACCAGGGGAGGCCCCTCTCATGACATTTTTATTTTAAAAAAGGTTATATTTTCATGAACAATGATCTTACCTTAATATACCAGATTGGTTCTTATTTAGACAATTTAATAAAATATTTTTCTATTTCTCAGTTTTAATTTCAAGTATGATAAACACTGATAGATAAAGTCCACATAAACAGCAGCACTTTGGGCTCCTCCATCATTCTGAGACATGTCATTGATTCCTAAAGCAAGTGTTTGAATACTGCTAGTCCATGACTCCATTGCCGCTTCTCTTGTGCACATTTTTAAAATTATTTCCCTGCCTCTGGGTCTTCTCTCTTCTGTCCATGTACACATGATGCCAAGTTCACCTTCTTAACCAAACAGTTTTTCTGCAGTATTATTTTCTTGCTCAGAATCCATTAATGGAGGAATCCATGATTCCGATAACATTTTTTTAACCTTATTATTTCTCTGGTCTATCAACCACAATTACCCCCAAAACTATCCACTTTGGTCAGGCTAGTCCCATTGTCCCCAGAATGTTTTCATTTACCTTCCAGACTCTTTCAATTGTTTTGTATCCCTTCCCTTTCTAGACTCAGCCTCTCTCCTCTGCCCAGTCTAAGCAGCTTATGGAAATATAGAATTTAGAACATGTACTTTAGAGTCTGGCTTGAATTCCAGTTACCTCTTACTTGCTATGTGATGTGGGTAATTTGCCTCTGAAATCATAAAATAGAAAATACAGTACACTGGTACCTACCTCAAATGGCTGTTGTAAGACTTATGAGATTATATTTAATAAAGTAAGTGTTCAATAACTGCTTTTCAATGTTGTTATCTAAATACTGCCTAAGATTACAGCTTTTCCACGAAGTCAGTCTCTTCATCCAAAATTATTCTTTCCCTCTTTTATTCCTTGTAGTGGATTGGAAGGTTTTGGTCCACACATCTTTCATCTTTACTTCCCAAGAGAGATAAGAAGTGGTTACATGAATTAACTCTCTCTCTCTCTCTCTCAGGATATGTATCTATTTCTTAGACCTACACAATGCTGTTATTGCTCCTTCAATCAATTCAATATGTGTGCCACTGTGCCTCTGCTTTCCAAAAAATGATACACATAAAACTATTTTCAGCTGACAAGGCCAATAAATGCATTTGATCTATAACCTTTCATTTATCCTCTCCTCCTCAGGACAGCTAGGTCAAGTCTTCCTCTAGGATAATAAATCCATTCATCTGAAAAAGGAAACTCAAACAGGAAACATTTTATAGAAAGAAGCAGATCTGATGATAGAATCATCCAAACTACACAAAAATGAGGCCAAAGGCTGGTTGATTCTGGCTACAAATCAATCGTACTGTGAGATGACTTCTAGCTATCCCCAAATTCTTAGAAGTGTGCTGAGAATTCACATGGCTTGAAATCTTCAGTTAGGGCTCTGTCAGCTAGGGGTGGATGTGGAAAAGCCTCCAACTTGGAGAGAAGACTGGCTCTGAGATCGTGCAAGGCTTCTTCATGACTGGGAGGTGGTATTTTGGTCTCTGGAGATCAGAAGACATTTAGCATTCTTGTCGGTTGGCCTATATTTAAACTGTATTCCTAGGTTTGAAAATTTCATTGTAAGGTAGAGCTTATTCTAGAAGCTAAAAAAGTTCAGCTATTTGCTTTCCCAAGCTTTTTTGAACCTAAAATAGGGGCATATGCGATCAGGTGGTGTCAATTAGTGCAAAGAGGCCAGACTGACCCAGAAGCCATGCACTGAACAACTGGGGATTGTGCAGAATCCATTTTTGGTGAGTCTGCT